ACATTGCAAACTTTTCACCGATTATGCTGAGAGATTCGAAACAACAAGAAAACCTAGTATCAAGCCGCGATGTCTCTTCATCATTTGTCCTATGAGAATCAGCAACTTCTTGAAGAAGGAAGGCAAAGAGAAAGGGCTTTACTTATAAACGACACTGATTTTCTTGGTAATTTCACAGTCAACCATGCGAAAGCGTCGGAACTAGGCCTCCTGTAAACTACAATTCCTACTGGAACGTTCTTTTGGCAAAACACTTTTTTAAGAAGTTTCTCAGAAAAAATCCAAAATACCTATAAAGACTTAAGAAATAAAAATATTTTCCTTATAATAAGAACAGTTTCTCAAAAATACATAAAAAATCTGACATGATATTTTCTTATATATGTGTGAATGTAATGTAAAATTACTAAAATATGAGTCATAATATAGAATTACATTGCGGACATTAACCCATGAGAATATATAGGCCCTACACGAATATATACAAATACAGAGAAGTGATTGTATATTGCATCCCGCTTCGAAAGTTTTGTACTTGTCCAGTGTTTATTTAACATGTCTTTAAATAATTATGAATTATTGCAATACAGATCAATTATTGGAAAAGGATTTTTGTGGTAATCAGATGAGATATCATCAGATGAAACATCATCAGGTTAATTTCATAGTAAATGATTTAAAAATTGATTTGAAGTAAAAATAAAACTTTGCAATCAGGTTAGGAATTTGATTACATCAAGCAAAACCACTGGTAAATAATAATTTAGCCACTCTGGGAAATTCTAAGGTGTGCTTTAGCTACCCCTCCTATACAGGCATCTTTAAGAAGACTACTTTAAGAAATAAATAAAAAAATTACACGCAAGTTATAAATTTGCGGTTATAATGGAGTAATATGTTCTAGAAGGTCCTATTTCACCCTACATACGGACCATCCCTGGTCTAGCTGTCATAGTAATCCCATGCACTAATTTTAGCTCGTACAAGGTCAAGGCCTCAATAGAACAAGGCAGTCTTTATACCAGCCATTTTAATTATAGTTATAAAGTCCAAAATCTGACCGAACTCTGGCATCCTGGCATGTGAATTAACAACGTACGCAAACTTGTGTTACGTTGAATTGAATCTCCCCTGACGGTCTTTTCCCTTTACGTGGACTAGAACAACGGTCCTCTTTTTCTGCAAGGATTTCGCTTGATCTCTATGCATGCATTGGTCATTCGCAAGACCTCAGCCAATGCGTCCACAACTTCCGTTAAATATTTAAAGATCTTTTATCGAAAGGCAACAATACATATCTGCCTTTCAAAGATAATGATACTGGTAATTTAGCCATGTGGGAAGTTTTCTCAACACTAGAACGGTATTATTCTCTTTCTTGAGCTCGGGCAGACCCCTCCCCCTGGCTATTTAGCAGGACAATCAGACAATGGTTTCAGGGCCGGTGGCTACCTAGCTAAATTATCGCTTACAAAACTGGTATTTCGATTGCATGGCAAGAACTTTACACCAATTTATATTGCATGTTATTTCTGGGGTGCCCAGTGGGCAATAAAAAGCATTGTGTTTTTCTACGACAACGAGTCTGTTGTTCAAATTCTTAATCAGAAGACGTCAAAATGTCCGAAGATAATGGATTTACTCCGACCGATTGTTCTTTGTACTTTGAAAAACAACTTTACATTTACGGCCAGGCATGTACGCAGATTTGACAATGGCATTGCTGACTCGCTCTCTCGTTTTCAGATGAACCGCTTCAAACAATTAGCGCCACTGGCCTCTCCTCTGCCCTGCGTCATCCCAGTATCCATGATTCAAACTTAAAGGACCGTGTTTATGAACTTATTCAGCATTCATGCGCACCGTCAACCAAACAAAGATACGCCGCCGGCGTAAAACAGTTCTTTTCATTCTACCTTGCAAAAGGTATCGTGACACCCTGTTCACTTTTACTGCCTGCGACTGAACTTACCCTGCTCTATACTTCGTCGGCCATCTATCCAAATCTGTTTCATATTCAACTGTTAAAACATACTTAGCTAGCGTGTCTTACCTCCACGTAATTTTTTCAATCCCATTCGACATGGGGAGCATGCAATTATTAGAGAAAAGCCTGAAAGGCCTGAAGCGCTTCAGGGATGAAAAATTACGGGATCGACGGCCTATCACTGTGACCGAACTCCAGTCCCTTCATTCTGCCCTACGTCCTTAGTTTACAGACTGTTTAGACAATGTGATACTTTGGGTCGCCTTCACTCTGGCCTTTTTCGGTTTCCTGCGCTGTAGTGAATTCACGTGTAATTCTCCATTTTGACCCTGAGTGCCACCTCTCCCGCAATGACATTATTTTCCACCGGAATATCCTCCACGCGGAATATTATGATGTCTTGGTCAAGCGTTCCAAAACCGACCCTTTTCGTCGTCGATGTCGTTTAACAATTGGCTCATCGCGTAATAAACTCTGTCTGGTTCGAACTATTAAAACATATCTACTCCAGTCATCGTCTGGCCAAACAACTCGTCCACTGTTCCAATTTACATCAGGTGTCCCATTTACACGTGTAACCCTAACATCGCACCTGCTTATTCTGGAAGCAGAGATAAGTGTGATTGGACATTTAGCATAGTTGGTGAAAACGTTACCTTAAGTGCAGAACACATTGCACCACCACAACAAATTAAAAAAATCGTCAGCTCAACTTCCAGGCTTAAAAGACAGATCGGTAAAGTAGGAAATGATATTAATGCTGGAAATATTGCATTATTCTTATTGGATAATTCCAATTTTTCTCGTTGAAAAATTCCCTGAGGATAATAGGGATGTCTTTGTTTTGTCCTAAATAAGGGCCAGTTCCTCGTTGAAAATGATAACAAATGCAGTAAGTTAACATCTTGATACAAAGTTCAAAAGAACTTTCATCCCCGAGCGGGCGCGGAGCGCCTGCGAGGGTACTAATTCCGCTGGGAGATTAGGAATTACACCCGGAACCCGGTAGAACTTGGCGAATCCAAAGCACCAAAGTTGTCCAAATTCTATGTCATGGACGGTCGACGTTGGGTGGTTTTGTAAGTTATGCGCATGCGCGAGTAACGTCTGGTAATCAACGAATGTTCTGATTGGCTAAGACAGAAAGTTTGTATTTCAATGAGAACGTCAGCAATTTAACCGTCATTTCGTAAGCATTTTTGTAAAAGCGTTTCATAAACTTTGTGCAAAGAAAGTAAAACGAGAAGAAACAAGATATATGAAGCATGACAGATAGCAAAGATGAACGTGGATACAGTCAAAACAAAGCCGTGTAAGAGGAATAATTCATAATCTGCAAGCTTATAAATGTTTCAAAGACAAATGGTACGTGTTTACTTTGTTAATTTCGTATTTGTTTCGCGGTAAGAATGAGCCGTATTTGTATACTTTTCAGCTTTGTATGCCGTTTATTTGTTAAATTTTCAGCTTTTTATGCAAACGCATAAATCTGTGAAGGGCTATTGCACCTTTGCTTTAATTTCAAAAAGTGGTTTTGAAAGTGTAATTTGAATTTTGGTATCAAAAATACACACTATATTTATAAAGTATACTGAAACTTTTAGCCGCCGGCATCGACTGCAATTACAGAATAAAATAACATTTGAAGTTTTTTCTTTGTCTGTGAAGATTTTGTATTGTTTTAATCGTTTGAAACTTCGATTTTAAACCATTACTTAATTGCTGGCATGGTATAATGCAGCAAAATTGAACGGGCAATGTTTACACTAGCTTTGTGATTATTTTTGTATTGAATGATGGAAACTTTAAGACTGATTTGAGTTTTGTGCCATTTCATAATATAAGTTTAGGTCAGGTAAACTCAGGAAATTGTGTACTTGGTTTGAAATAGCGAGGGGTTGCTGCATGCATGTATTTCTAGTAAAAGTCAAGAATCAGACTGAATGTCCTAGAATTTAGTCATGTGGACGAAAATAAATTCTTCCTGTTGTTTTTGCTCGTAAATATTTATCCTGGCGATGTCTCTGTCACTGCAAATGTTTCTGGAAAGCTGGAGAAATTTGATCTGAAACCAACAAGAAGAGCTCTCATTACTAAAAAATGGAAGACAAAAGCACAACTCTTCTCCATAAATCTTCTCCGGAATGGCCAAAACATTTGTAAAATAGGTCACACGGGAGAGGCATAAAAGCAATGAGCAGTTGCCTTAGGATATTTTTTCCACGGAGATGGACATCTGTCCATGTTTCATGTATGACGTGCGTCATTCATTGGTCAAAATGCCAAACGACTAGAGAAAAAAAATCCGTCTAACAGGTTTGCAAATACAATTATTTTTGGTAAAGGTTTTATTTTACCTTTCTACAGTGTGTAAATCTATATATACATATATAATAATATAACATGGCTGATTTATTCGTCAACTGAAATTGCGTTCAAGTATAAAGCTTAACTGATTAACGCCTCTATCTACGTTTACGGTGGCTCGACACAGTATATTTAGTTGCGCTCTTTCGCGAGGAAACATTAATAGCCTCGCGATATTTGTCTAGTTTTATTTTTGAACGCACTGCCAAAACCAGCGAGAAAAATAAACATAAATGCTGCTATCAGAATCAGAACAATCTGAACAGCATGCGCGACGCGTGTTTGTTTCACATGATGCGTGTTTTGCACCCCACGCGTGTAATTGCACACGTCATTAAAAAATTCCATTTTGGGCCAAAAAAAAGCGCGCTATATCTGGTTATTTCGTACGGTGACCTATGCTGAAACTTTGCATGCTGTATTGTACTACACATGTCTCTCATAATACCAAAAATAAAAAAATTCTAGAATGGCAAAAAAAATTATCGAAAAAAAAAAGATTTTTGCATTTTTTAAAAAATGTGGCAATATATAATTTTTTTCTATTTTGCTAATTGTTAGTTTTTCTCCCAAGTAAAATAATGCACGAAAATAAATTGGGGGACAATTGGTCATTTTGGAGTGAATTTTGTAGACGTATGTCGCCATAGCAACGGACGATCTGTTACTAAAACTAATACGATTTAAAAGTAGAGACATCAAAATAGATAAAAAACCCATGCAGTATCTCTGGAATAAATCATAAAAATGCGTCGTTTGAACGTGTCAAAGTGATGAACAATGGAATTTTTGAAAACTGTATCGAGCCACCTTAAGACATGACGTATTTCGATTGATTGCAGACTTCAACAAGAAACAAATCTTAACCATGAACAATAGACTATAAGTATACGCTAATACATACTATTTAAATGTCGTTTCAGTTTTTGTCACTCGACAAAAACAAACTAAAAAGCGTAATAATTACTTTCAAACTTGAAACATTTCATTAGCTATAATAGTCTCACTATACTAGCTACTTTTTTATTATAGATTATTTCAAAATTAAAGATAACTCGGGTTGTATGCAAACTGAATGGTTGGCACTTTAGCGCGAGTTGAAATTGTTCCCCTTTTTGGTCACGGATCATCGCACTATTTTATATATATTATGTATATGTTTAGCGAAACCATGCATGTAAATAAGTTATGCCAAGACAGCAATAAACTGCAAAACAGCAAGTTCGCTTCGAGTTATGTACTGTCAACGAAAATGAATAAAAATTCACCAGGCATTTTTCCCATCAATTCCAAGATCCACGACTTGATTGCGTGAAGGACGTGTTTTCAGTTGAATGCTGGAGCCATCGTTGCTATTATTAGGGCAGATCTCACGGTGATCATCTTGCTGAGTCACCACAAAGATATTGAATGTCTTCCTTTTGATGCAAAGAACACAGGCAGCGATGGAGGCAATAACCAGGACTGACAATAAACACATAATGACGATAAACCAAGCTTTAGGCATCCCGAATGGCGACCTTTCATAGGAGGGTTTGGAGGTGGCTAAAGAAATATTGCAATAAGAAAATATGTTATTACCTGGTTGCAAAGTAATTACGAAGTTTAAGCTATCTTAAAAAAGTTAAGCTTTTTTGGAATACGAAAATTCATGTGTCCAGCGACTTATTCATTATTAACAAAATGCGTCAGATACCACAATTGAGTGTACATGCATGCTACACTACATCGAACGCATCTTGGCAGCTTGTAACAGGCCTATAAAACTACGACGGCCAAAGACGGCGGAAATTGAAGGAGCTATTGAAGGACACCCCAGCCTTCCTCATTGAACTGTAAACAAACTGGAACGATAACTCTGGGGGGGGGGGGGGTTGAAGCCAGTGCTTTTCACTTTTTCTAAGTTTTGAGCTGAAATACTTGACGCCAAATGTTGAGCTGTATATGAAATTAAAGCTATTAAAAAGTTATATTTCGTGTAGAAATTTCGAGACTTTAGCTTAAAGGGGAATATCTAAAAATATTTCAAAATTTCCCGTTTTTTTGCCGGTTGGTAATAATCCCTTAATATTCCCTTTATAGTTTAAGTCTTGAAATTTCTACACCAAATATAACTTTTCAATAGCTTTAATTTGACACACAGCCCAACGTCTGACGTCAAGTAAGTATTTCGACTCAAAACTCAGAAAAAACTATTTTGGCTTCAAGCTGAATAGGGATGTTTGTCAGGAGTTATCGTTCCAGTTGTATAAAGTTTACTGATCTTCCTACGTGCACGGCCAAACTGATTTCCTTTTTTTTTTGCCTATTTTCTGATACTTTTGAGAGGAAAATGGTAGAATTTTTTATTAAAGTTAAATGCTGGTGCTCTGTGTTAGGATATTTTTACGTTTCACTTAAATTTGCTAAGAAAGGAGCAATATCTCATGAGAAGTGACTGTGGGTCGTTGACGTTCTCGCAAATAACAGAATACACTCAAACTGAAATGCCAAATATCTCCATTTTCAAATGCGACCGGTAGTTTGACTCAAATAAGGGACCTTTTTATATTAAGAGAGCTTTTTTAATCATTTTGAACTTTTCCTTGTTTTATTGCACTTTTTCCAATAATTTAGCTCAAAATTTTGTCAATTTTTGTAAATACGAGTCCACAGTCTTGTTCAAAATTAATAATAGCGGTCAATAATTTGGAGATGCTTCATGCTATTTCTCTGTTTAACAACCCCACGCAAGCCCCATGCAAGTTAACTACGTGATTAGTTAATCATCCGACTAACTACGTTTTGTGCAACGAAGTTAAGTCGTGTAGTTAACTGATCATAGTTAAGGCTTTAACTACGTTTTTACACAACCGGCCCCTGGGGGGATATGAGCTACGCCGGTTAGGTGTGTGCTGGGGGGGATATTACCAGCCCAGATCATTCAACATGCCGATACTTTATATAAGTTATAATAATAATGTGCTTAACTTCAGAAAAACTATAGTTTTTAATTTGATTGATAATGTCACAAACCACATGCATGCAGCGCACTTCACAGGCTTTTGTTTTGGTAATACGCGACAAAAATTATATAGATATATATATTTCTATTATGACTTTTGGCACTTCACTCGATATAGGTGAATGCTAGAGGTTCACAGGGTCTTAATTTCGAGTGGAATTATGTACACGTCAAGTTCAAGCCGGGAACAGTTGATGGGAAAATAAGTCGACTACCGGTCCTCCGGCAGGAATCGAACCTACGCTTTTGCGATGCTGGTGCAATGCCGATAGTTGACTCATTTTCCCATCAACTGTTCCTGTCTTGAATTTGACGTGTGTATAATTCCACTTGAAATTAAACCTCTAAAATATAGATATATATTTCTATTCAGAATCCACAATGTGGCCATTAACCTTTACAAAAAATGACATTTCACAGCAAATATATAGGTATTATTTGTAAGAGGTTTAATCGTTGGCTGCATGCGAAGGCTTGAAAAGGCTTGTTTTTTATATAGTAACATAATTATAGGCTTTGTTAATTGTAATGTATTCAATGAATAAATTGTTGTGTAACATGTATGTTTTTGTTACCATATAACAAAGCACTTTTCGTCTCGGGCAACATTCAGACACTTGGGAAAACAAAACTAACTATTTCCCTCAGCAGCATACATTAAGTGTATAATAATAACCTGAAATTTGCATAGTGGGGCAAAATTGTCAGGCTGGCTAAGCTTCAGAAAATAATAAGAAAAAACAGAAAACAAAACAGGAGTAATTTTAACTTTGCCGCTTAGGCCGGAGTAATAATAGACAGCATGAAAAATACATGCACCAGCTAAAGGCAAGAATAACACATCTTAAATCTTTTTTAATAACTCACTCTTTTCTTTAACGCTATGTACGTCAATTTCAAATGGTCCCAGTTTTCCATCTTTTATTTCATTTTGCAGTCTTTCTAGAGGGTTCTTGACTTTCTTTCGCCATACAAGTCTAAATTTCACAGCTGCATTTTCTTTGCTAAGAAAAATATTATGTAATTAATGTTATCCTTCTAGACGACAGTGCATAATTTTAATAAGCTATAGCGGGATTACCCCAAAGTAGAATTATATTCATTTTGAAAACCATGGTGCTTTTGAAAACTGTGTTACGTTCGCCGGTGAGAACGAACAAAAAATGAGAACAGTGTTGAGCATTTTTAAACTTTTAGTGAACTATAGTAATTTAAACTTAACAAAGTAGATTAGCATTATCCTATTTCTTAATAATAACTTTCTGGTCTGAGTAGCATATAGTTCGATAGGTACGTTGACTGATAACTTGCACAGCGAATAGTTGGAAATCCATGTTGATGTGTGTTGATGTTGAGATTGATTTTGATGTGTGTTGATGTTGATGTTGGTGTTGATGTTGGTGGTGTTGATGTTGCTGTACAGTTGATGTTGTCAGCTTAAATTAGCGTCGTCAGGTATATGGCTATATAGATTTAGCCTTCTTGTCACTATTCGTATTTGTGTGTTCCCAGTAGCGTAGCCAGCCTGACAATTTGTCCCGCTATGCTAATATTTTGGTGTTCATTGACTGTGAAAACAATAAATTTCTAAAGACATGAATAATTATAATAACTCGAAATATACATAGCGGACAAAATCGTCAGGCTGGCTACGCCACTGTGTGTTCCTGCATGGGTATTTCTTTTCATCGTGATGTTATTCAGGCTAATGCCTTATGAATAATGCATGCCTTAAAGATTTGTGCTCCGGCTTTATATGTTTGCTATGAGAAGAAACTATAAAACTGCAAGTCATTTCCCATACGCAATAAAATGCGTTGTAGCACATGCTATCATGGTTTGTGGTCGACACCTTGTTACGCATTTGTTGGATAAGGTGTGGATAGCTATTTGCTTACCTATGCATGTAAGTCTTAAGAGAATGCTATATGGTTATACGAATATATAATATATATATAGTTATAATAAGTATATAAGTTTATAATGCTATTATGATTATAATTATAATTACATGATATTGCGGTATCATGTAACACCTGCAATCTGATTCTTTCTTAGCACTGTGATTTCAGACTGAATCAACCTCGTTGTAGCCTGCGCCGCAGACCCATGCCCGAAATAGAAAGGCGGGGAAACCGAGTTGTAAAATGGGCTCGGTTTTTTCTTTTGCGTCGCGAGCTTACAAAAATCACGCGTGGGCGGCACGAAGTCTTCGAACCAATCGAAATCGTCCTAGGATCGTTTCTCGCGCGGGTGTCACGAACATGCCATGTTACTACGAGATAACTGTAGTCCGAGTGATCGCCTGAGTAGGCGTCTTGTTCCAGTAAAAATATAATAAACAAGACGCCTGTTCTGGCGTTGACTCCGGCGCACGTGCCAGTCATTAATATAGAGCTTCTGAACATAAACAATACAGTTCATATTCGCATTTAGATGCCTTGCGAACCTAAATGTTCGATCGCGTAGAAGCACATCGTACTTTAAAAAGTATAGAAGTTCAATTGTTAAAAAATGTAAATAAACCGCATGATACATTCGCTTTGTCTTACACTTTGCTTTTGGAATAGACGCTTAAATAGTTATATTAAATCTTCAATCCTGTGCAAACTACGACATGTCAACGCGCCCATACACGACCACATCATCTTGTTAAACGGCGAAATAGCAGCGATATTATTAAAATACGACCAGAATCTACATATATTAAATATATTCTTACCCAATTCAATCTAAACTTAATCGAACAGCATGAAAACAACGGTTTATTTTTTCCTCTTGGAGGAATTGCCGTATCATGCGAGCGAAATCGAATCGCGCATCGGAAAATTAGCCAAAGCTGTACACCACAACTCTTGGGAAATAAGACTGGGAAGTAGATAAATACGGTTACATACACATTTCAAATACTAGAATGGTTCGCGCCATTTCAGACTTGCGACGATGAAAAATAATAAAAAATAAAATAAAAAATAAAATAAAAAACAGAGGCGAATTTTCAACTCTGTCGCTGACGCCGGAGTAACTAGGTTAAACATTAATCAAAAGGAAATTACTCAAAGTACTCAAGTTACGTTATAGTCGCGGATATTGTCACTATTAAATTATAATTTTAGTTGCTCGTGTAAACCGGGCGCGATTTTCTCAGTTTAGTCTATTTTCTTCGTCAAACAACCGTGACTAGCTACATTCACTACATTTATATGATGGCAACAATTTATCCGTCATTTCATAAGAATAGCCAAAATAGTTGCGTTGTAAATAGTGTAAATAAACCGCGGTGCATATTATGTCTATGATGTGGATACTTTGACGCGTAAATCGATACAAAACAATATACTTATAAGTTATCATCAATACTGTATACCTCCAAAATGATTTGATTACGGCACAAAATGTCCGTTTTGTATACATCAATTATGCACTGTATGGTATCGACTTGCTATCGACATAATATATATTCGTGCAAGAGAATGAAGAGATCTATCAATACATAAACAACACAGCGTCGTTTCTTCCTAATTCATAATTTGTCGTTTCTTCGTAATTTATAACATAAGTTGATAAATTACGTAGATTCTTAAAGAATTGCTCGATTTTTACGTCCGGGATGTTTTAAGCAAAGCTTGTCGCTCCTATTTTTTTTAGCTACATCGTGAATAATGTTCAAGGCTCGACGGGACATGCGCAGTTGCGACGTATAAGAAAAAATCTGGTGTTCCGTGCGGTATATCCCTTTAAAACGAAATCCAAACCACGGAAAAGCAATGCTTCAAAATTTACAATAACGGTCAAAATTCCTCAATATTTTGGTGAACTTAGCAAAAGGGATAGTGCATTAATAAAAAAAGCAAGTGATTTAAAATAAACTGATTTAAAAACTTTAAATTACTGATCATGTACAAAAAGTTACTATAAGCATAAACTAACAACCCCCCGGAAAGTTTACATTGTGACTGACTGACTGACTTACTGGTTTGAATTTTCGTCACTCATCACAGAAATTTTAATGCGTGTTTACGGGTATGTACGGTTGTATCATAATTGATTAATATTACGACATTGAAGTGCATGGTAATAAAAATTGGCAACACAATAAACGGTATTTAGAACATATTTCTAATTTATCTATATATAATCTTCTGTTTAACCCATCTATTTCCCTCAGCTTTCCCTCAGAAGTAATTAAACTCTCGACCTAGACGAGGTATTCAAATATAGATACACATAATGTTAATCTGAACATGTCAATAGGTGCGATATCAAAGGCGCCATGACAAAAACTGCGTTCCACTCAGTGCAATTACCATGCATTCTATACGAAATTGCAGCCTACCGGAAACCAATGACAAAGATGTACACAAAATATTTCTCATCAGCATAAATTTTATCAATCTATAAATAAATGTAAAGCGATAATTATTGTATTAAGAAAGTCAGTTAAGTCATAATGATTCACATTTGAAATGCAGGGAATAAATTTAATTTAATTTGTAGCACGTTTCTTTAAATCACTTTTTATTCCAATTAAATTACTGGACCAAACTGCGCAAAACTCTATATCAAAGCCTGCGAGTGCAGACAATGTAACGTCCGAGAAAAAATTTTAATTTGTATGAATAACAGTCTGAAAACTGAATTGGTTTTAATGTATAATCAAGCGAGCGGGTAATAAAAAAAAGTGGGTGGTTTTATTCTACGGGTACGGGAAGCAGTATTTTGCTTAATGATTTATATCAATGTTTGGGTACTTTTTTGAACATTATACCTGCATACGACAAAATTCCGGCTCTGACTACAGTCATTGACCGCTTCCCCTTTTTGTTCTTACTCACGCGCCGTCAAAGAATGGAAAAAGAAAGATAATTTTAATAAGAAAAGAAAATAAGGCATACCTCATGGGCAATTTTAAACGCCATAGTTTTGAAATACGAAGAATTTTTATGCAAAAGATCATCCTTCCATTCTAAACCAGATTTCACATGAAATTTTCCATCCACCTCGAATGAATCTAAAATTAATACAACAAAAAATATGACATTTATTATAATCCTGATTAGGAAACGATTAGGAGTAGTAAAAGAGTCGGAATCGTCAACTAGCGTCATTGCGCAATCTTTAGCACAACAGGGAGGGTTATCCCTGTTGCAGTTATTTCTGTTGCGAAACATTTCCAGCCCAACAAGGCGAGATCTCGGATAGTCAATAGCGATATCTCGCCTGGTAAGGCTGGCCCTCCTCTCGTTTAAACGAAATTGTTCTTTAGTAGCCTATGGATCTGCCAGTATAACATTACTTAAAAATTACTTTCATTTATTACTTGCACTCAATTATTACTCACATTTCTCTTTAATGCTGTTGGGTGCTACTTTAAATGAGCCAAAATCGTTTTGCACAAAAGATCTTAATGGCTTTAGCGGATCATCTTTTTCCTTCTTGAAATGAAGTTGAAACTCAACCACAACACTTCCCTTGCTGCAAAAACGTTTATTTAAATAAGTACTGAAAAAAGACTATAAATTGCTATAATTTTTTTTTTAAATACTCGTATAATTTATTCATATTATTAGTACTAGGGAAATTTACAATAATCAATCATGCATTAAAACTAAGTATAATAGTTCTACAGACTATTTACAAAAACTACTTAACTAGACTACTCGCTAATGTTGGAGTTCCATTCCGACAACGTAATGTCATTAGTTGATGTGATGGACGCAGTCCTCCAACTTCGACTGCCACGAACACACACCACGCGAGCTCTAAGCAAAGCAAAGGCGATCTTTCGTCGAAACCAGCTAACCACCATAGATGGAGAATGATTCTTCTTGTCAGCCAGCTTCGCACCCAGGAAGGAGAGAAAATGTTGGGTCTCTTTTCCGCATCCGCCAAAGGCGCTGAAGACGACCGGTGTGAAGGAGCCATGCTCGACCTCAACAATCCGTTAGTTGTAATGTCGCTTCTTTTCCCATTCGTTGGCTTTAAACGAGCTGCTCAACGTCTGGCGTCGATGTGTAGAAGCGTATGGGTTAAACACCGTTACATCAAAAAATGCCTTTTCACATCTCTGCCAGAAACCTCTCGCAGCAATGTCCACTCTGGCGTCATCGGTTGAGTTAGCACTGGATGGAAGAACCTCGCCAGTCAAGGGAGCAAGAGCAGGTTCAATTGAAACATCGTAAGCAACGTCATCGATAGCAGCAGCAAGTAGATCACGGATCTCATTATGTCTTCGATGGATAAAACCTCCTTTCAGGCACGACAGGGCATGATCTACCGTGAACGATTTTCCCCAAGCGCAGAAAGATGGAAGGCGTTTCAAGGGCCATCGATAACGCATGTAGATTGCATCAAAGAACTCACGCTTGGTCAAGATGTAGCCCTCGTCAGCAAGTGGCAGAGCAGTTAGCCAAGCTGAGGATCCTTTCAACTGGGCGAGGTCATTTGCTCGAATCTGCTCTTCACTCATGCTCGATCTCAAGTTCTGTAGCAGCAACGAGTTCCTAGCTTGACGTTATTTTGCAATCTCACGGCGAAGATCGTTGATGGAATCTCCATGTTCTGCTGATGGTGTACCATTCTGGTGGATGATTCTACTTGAGAGAACATGACAGATGGTTGTGGAGTTCAAATGCTCTTCATCACAGATGTCGTTAAAGATCGGAATACCAAGACCTCCCATACGAGCTGGAAGCGAAACCAATTGTCGCTCATGGATGGACAAGCTACGGTTATCGAGGAGTGCAGGAAGGTGCTATAAATTGCCCGGGATGGGAGGTCATGTGACATTGTGAAGCGAGGAAAGAAAAACTGTTATTTTAAAATCATGAATTATTCATAATAAATATAATAAAAATTACATTGAGGTGTGAGAATTTTGGCTTGAAACAAAAGTTCGGCTCATAGTGGTGCCGGGACCAGGTTTTTAGAACGATTTGGAGACAACATTTAACGAGATTCGAAGGGATTGTGATTGTAAACAAGACGTGCGAAAATGACGGACAAAGTCGAACCTAATGAGAAAGAGAGGGAATTGGAGACAAAAATAAACAAAGAGATTGAGAAATTAAAGTATTATCTTGAACAAACGGATGAATTAATCGAGGAGAGAGACTGCAAGGAAATGGAAACAGTAAGAAAACGTTGAGAATCTATTCTCGATGAGATACATAACTTAGTGTCGACGATGCAAGAATTAAAAGCGGACCGGGGCGAATATACGGCAAGAGCGATTCGACAGTGGAAGAAAAATGCCAAGGAGACGTATTCACCATGGGTATTGGAACTCAGTAAGTTGCAAAATTTGTTAGCGAAGAGAAAAGAGGAAATTACTTTTGCAGAAACAAGCCGGAAAAGTGAAACGATGCGAGAGGAAGAGGAGCATTATCGAGAGGAAATTAGACGACAAGAGCGGCAGTTATATGGCAAGAGAAGTTACAGGCAGAGCTCGAAACAACCGAGAGAAAACTTGAGATGGAAAAGGCAGCTAGGGCATCCCATGCCAAATCGCCCAAATTTACCATAACACCATTCAAGGGTACGGCTATAGCAATTGGGTAATGTTTGAGAACATGTTTTTGACTCAGTTGCAATTGAATTATTACAGTCAACGGTTCCAGCAAACAATCGATGCCTATCTTCGACGTCACCATAGAATCGCTGGATGGCAAAGCCCAAGAGAAAATCGAGCTGACCGGATCCAAGTTGAGCGATTTTACCACAGTAACACGACCGGATATGAACAAACTGAAACATGAATTCGAGCACACCAAAGATAAACGATTCTACATGAATCCACGAGGGAAATATCCCATTCATATGATCATCGGACGCAAGAAATATTGTAAGATACGAACAGAGGAAGCCTTCAAAGGCAGCGCTGAAGATCAGGTGGTGGAAGGATCGTCGTTTGGCTGGATTATTCATGGTGGTAACTATTCGAGTGAACAATGCATGTTCACAAGAGAAACAACGGATTATGAGAGATTGTATAGCCTGGATGTCCTCGGAGTGGAGGATCGAAGCGAAAACAACCAGCTGGATATCCATCGGAAATTTCGAGAGAACATAACGAAGACAAAACAGGGACGATATGAGGTTAAAGTACCGTGGATACCAGGGACTACTATAACGAATGATAAACTGGAACCAAGCAGGAAGCGACTGGGCAATGTTTGGAAGAAGATTAATCAATATAAAACACTGAAAGAAGAGTATGTTGAGATGTACGAAGCCATTAAAATGACGGTATTATCGAGAGAGCACCAGAACAGCCAGAAGGAGAAAGTTTATTTTATATGCCACACAAGTCAGTCGTAAAGGAAGATGCCCCACAACTAAAGTAAGGATGGTGTTTGATGCCACCATGAAGTACCATCCCATGGCCAATAGTGTAAACGACTGCATGTATATGGGACCCCCACTGCGACCACTCCTGTGGGACATAATGAGTAGAGCGAGAGTGGCCCCAAACATAGCTTTAACAGATATCCAAAAAGCATTTCTGCAAGTCAGAATAAAAGAAGAAGATCGGATGCCTTCCGATTCTTGTTCAATATCAACGGTAAAGAGGAACATTTGCGGTTTACAAGATTGCCATTCGGAGCAGAGGCGAGTCCATTCATGTTGGGAGCAACAATACAATACCACCTGGAACAACAGCCAGTCGAGTTTGAGAGCACCATCGAAGCATTAAGAGAAAACACCTACGTTGACAATGTAATGAAAACGGGAAGTGATGTTTCAGAACTGGAGCGGTTCAAGCAAGAAGCGACAAAGATATTGAAAAGTGGTAGGTTTCCGTTACACAAATGGGGGTCGAATGTGGGAACACTGGAAAGTGAAGGGATGCCAAATCCCTAAAAGATTCTGGGACTCAGATGGGACAAAAAGGAAGACGTTAATTAAAGTACCTGAGTATCCGGAAGAAATGCCTGTGACTGTGAAGTCCATCGTCAGCCATCTGGGGAAAATGTATGATCCGTTGGGCATTGTGTCGCCAACCATGGCCGAAGGGAAAAGAATTTTCAGAGAAGTATGTGACGAGAAGAAAAGCTGGGATGTTGAAGCATCTACGCCTTTGAAAAATGATTGTTTGAGGTGGACTAAACAGCTTCGAAATGCGAAAATATCACGATGTGTTGCGAAAAACCTAAAGGAGATCAACGCGATTCACCACCATATCTTCGCAGATGCGAGTAACTTGGCATGCTCGTGTGTGACAATAGCGGTAATAGAACAAGTTCCTGGAACAGTGAAAGGCCTCTTTGCATCGAAGTCGAGGATCTTGAAGAGGAATACTTCAATCCCGAGATTGGAGTTGGTAAGCGGCCAGATGGCAGCGAATATGGCGAAAAACATATGTTCTGCACTGAAACGAATACCTGTTGCTTCAATAACTGTTTGGATGGACAGTTTGGTAGCCCTATTCTGGATATCAAATCCCGCCAAGCACTGGAAAGTGTTTGTGGCAAATCGGGTCAGGAAAATCGCGTCAATAATCGCCGAAATCGGGATCCAGTGGAAGTATGGCCCTACCAAAGAGAATATCGCATAACTAGGAAGTACAGGTGCAACAATAAACCGGATAGAGCAGGGTGGCTGGTTTACGGGACCTCAGTGGCTTGGGAGGGAAGGCCATTGGCCTGATCAACCAAGACTAGCGAGAACGAAATACACCTCTCAGGAGAGCATTCCCCTCAGACAAACGGTTTATCACGTAGAAGAGAATGCTGTAGTCGAATGGGACCTATTGTTAAACAAGAACTCTTACTGGAGAATAGTTAAAGTGACGACATGGGCGCTACGGTTCGCGAACAACTGACGATCGGAAAAACGTGAGGTGCATAAGAAAGGTCTAATCGATACTACCGATATACAAGAAGCAATAAACTGCAGCGTGGAAGGTCCAGAGTACCGTTCAAGACGAGGTCGAGGTCCCCGGGTGGGAGCTTACACACACACACACACGAGAAGATTATGCATCTAGGAGTGGCAAACACTATCGCAGCAATACGAGAAAACTAGTGGGTGCCTCATCTGCGGTCCAAAGTGAAGAAAGTTATACAGAAATGCAACACGTGTAAGGATTTCTCAGCTAAGCTGTATGGAGCACCGACGCCAGCCCCGTTACCTTAATTTAGAACAAACGAAAGTAGACCATTCTAAGTCACAGGGGTGGATTTCGCAGGGCCCTTGATTTGCAAAGCGGGAAAGAAAGAGACCGAGAAATGTTACGTGGTTATATCTACATGCGCAACATCGAGAGCACTTCACCTCGAACTAACACATTAACAGTCAGCCGAAGAGTTCCGAGAAAAACTAAATTCCTTTATCACAAGAAGAACAAAACCTCGGCGAATAGTCTCAAAGCCACAGCATTCAAAGCAACAGCGTCGTGGATAAAGAAAATAAGAAAGGGCGAAAAGTTGCATAACTATCTGGCTACCCAAGAGATCCACTGGACATTTAACCTTGCGAAATCTCCATGGTGAGGAAATTGGTGGGGAGGGATCTACGAACGCTTGATACAAGAGCTGAAGAAAACCCTCTACAAGACCCTGGGCAAAACACACCTGACATACCACCAACTCCAAACGGTTATAATGGATATCGAACGAAATCTGAACAATCGCCCACTGACTTATGTTGAAAGCGACCATAGCGAAGAACAAGTTCTGACACCGAACGTGATCCTCTGGGGACAAAATGCACGCACGATTGAACCTGATGAAACCTATGACGACGAAATAAGAAGAGTACAAAAACGGTTAGAAGTCGCGAAACAACATGCGTGGTCAAGATGGCGAAAAGAATATGTGCACGGACTAATGGAATATCATCGAGTAAACAAGAGCCGTAACGAAGTACCACAGATTGGTGAGGTTGTCCTTATTGTTGGTGAAGAAAAGAATAAAGGAAATGAATGAAGCAGAGAGTCATTAAATACGTCACAGGCAAGGACGGAGTCATCCGAGGAGCGATATTGTTGCACAACGGGAACCACATAGAGCGTCCGATACAATTACTCTGTCCCTTAGAGATTCGAAGTCCACTACGCGAAGCGGAAGTACACAACGCAAGCACTGAAAAAGTCGGGGAAACACAAGAAAACCGGAAGGACAACACAGTTTTCCCTTGGCAGAGCACCTGTGTGACACCAAACACAAGACTGCATGGGAATTGGGAAACTCTAAAGTAATTACCACTAACAATCGATACATGGTCAAAGACTTTGCCTAGAAGCATGGCATATAAATATGAGTAATCATGCTCTGAATAGGGACGACATTGCCCATTTGCCAGAGGAATATATGCATCTTATTGGCAGGTGACATCATCCCTTGGGTATGATGTCAGATCACCCCTGATGAAGACAGTAGACTGTACTGTCGAAACGTTAGGTCCTGATTACAATTTGACCAGGCTTTGTGATCATTTATATAAACCAGAGTAGCAAGCGATAACAGGGTTAAAAGGGGTATTAAAACTGTTCCTATTACAGGATTGATTTGCTAAACTTATAAAACCCTATTTTTGTTCTAATTTCTAGGTTTTGGTGCTCATTTGCAGGAAAAAAATTAATGTCCCTGAGTGTGAATTCCATGAATGCACATTTGAATACCAAGTCACATTCGAATACCAAGTTACATTTGTATACCAAGTCACATTTGAATAGCAAGTCACATTTGAATGCCAACTTACCTTTGAATGCCAACAATGAAGTTACAATGAATAAAGTTATATTAATTAATGAAGTTACATCATTAAATAAAGTTACATAACATCAATGAATAAAGATGCATCAATGAATAATTTCATATTATAAAATGTATAACAAAAAATCCCAAAAGTATGACAGACAACAGTGTGACATCCAACAGTACAAAAAACAAACCTCATTTTATGACCTTTTGTCACCTTCTGTAGTTTCCTCACCTGCAGGCGAAGTAACGCCTTGAGCAGGCGTCTTGTTCCTCATACGCTCGCATTTATATGCAATTCATTATTTATGCATTATTTATGCATTAAAAAAATGAAATGAAATGAAATTGAATGAAATTAAATTCCCCCGTTCCCCCGTTCCCCGTTCCCCATTTTAAAGATAGCCTTAGGTGAAACCTCGGTCTGATCGCGGTTGAACCGAGGTCAGACCGAGGTCGAACCGAGGTGAGACGGAGGTTAAACCTCGGCCTAACACGGTCTGACAGACATTTCTTATTAAGATTTTTTCGTTTTGATTATTGTGTTAATTGTCGTTCTCAGCTGTTCATAACATTTCGTTCGGAAGCGAACGGCCACTGCGAAGGTATTTTTTTCATTGCGGTCGTCTGCAGTTTCTATCGGTCGACCGAAACGGAACCGCAACCGCAGTGTTATAGTTTATTAGAGACAGTATTATGCTGTATGTATGTTAGGGAAGGAGCTACAATATCTGCTGCGATAGCAACATTTTGGAAAGAATATTAACCAGGCCTGTACTTTTGAAAGTTTTTAACGGTCTCAAGGCAACTGTCTCTGGGCTACGTTTGCAGTTACAACGCTGTTGAAGCTAAACGAACAATTTGATTCATTATAGTTTCATGGCACTGATATATGTTAATACTAGAGTTGGAAGTAATTTAGCTGCCAATTCTGGGTCTAATATTTATAAAATAAACATTAAATGCTTCAAAATCTCTCTGTTATCAGCAAAATCTTAGTACTCAACTTCAACTCCGGTCAAACAAACTACCAACTGTAAACGTACCGAAAGCACACGACAATCACACTCCAAAAGTCTTCGGCATCTCTATAGGCTTTTTTAATCTAAAAAAACATAGAATAAAGTCGTTATTATAAGCAGTAGAGTACACAGCCTGACGATTTGCCCTGCTATTTCTACCGTTTTAGTGGTAGCTCGATGGCTTTTAATTGATAGAAATTAATTTTTAAATGAATTTTTTTCTCCGCAAATGCAAAAAAAGTAGTGAAATAGGTCACACGGCAGAGGGCATAAAAACAATGACTGCATGACAAATATCACGCAATGTCAGGCAATAAACACTTGCCAGCAAGATGGCTGCCTTGGGACATTTTTGCTTCTGGCGCACGATGAAATTTTCCAGCTTTGTACCGATCATTATGGGGACATTACAATGTGATGCTATAGCATATCTAAACCAGAATATTTTACGTCACCCCTGTTCAGAAAATTGCTGACAGTTTGACAAATGGTTCTGGAGCTGAGAAAAAAGTCGAATGCTAACTTTATAGCATTTTCCATAGTCATTAGCTGAGTAATATAGGCTTATATCATTTTCCATCTTATGCTATTAGAATAAGGTATTGGCACTCTCAAATCATAAGGTCGCCGAAAACCACGCAAAACCCATGCACGCGAATATACAGGTCATGTGATTGATATTTAGGTATCTATGTATATCATCAGGAAAATCTTTGCGGCAATGACTGTATATATATTTGTATATACTTGTATGTATTTAACAAATAGATAAAATTGAACCGTTGTCTGTTCAGTTATAGATAAACGGTATGACGTTATTTGTGCATGATAAGAAAAAAACAAAGTGGTCACGAGCCGCCGGCATCAGATCTATAAGTGTACAGATAACGATCATACCGTGTATCTATAACTGAAAAGACAACGATTCGATGTTACCTATTTGTTTTATATAATAAAATCGGAAAAATACGAAACTAAACAGTCAAATAGTTTCCACAACACTTGGAAAATTGTCCAAGTAGTAATTTTACAGATATAACACAGGAAATCACGCGTACATGATCTATATAGGATTTAAGAAATGCTGTTGGCTAGCTTAAGACCTCTGCTAAAATGTGATTAGCTGTAAAAATGAAACAAAAGATGACTTAAAATCACCTGTGATTTCAACCGTGCGTCTTTTTCTTATAGATCATTGCTCTCGACCAATGAAATAGCTTTAATTCTTAACGTTATTATATATAAATATGAATATATATGTGTGTGTATACCTGGGTTTCGATTTCTTCTGCTATACGTTTGTAAAACTGCGTAGTTTTGTTTGAAAGTACAGCATTCCACTTCAATCCGGAAACGATAACCAACTCCGCCTCAACAAGAGTGATGCCTTAAAAATATTGATAATAAACACAATATATATATTATATATTCCACTTATCTGTCCCTATCAATATAGAAATATCAATCACGTGACCATTAAACATGGCTTATTTTGATCACTTATCACTTGTTTCTTTATTATTACAATACTATGAAATTTAAGAAATTTTCACGACAGATTTCCAACGATTTGTCATAAAATTAAGGTATGTAGTAAAATTACGTGACCGATATTTACGTATTTATATATATTTCCATATGACAACCTTTTTGATAACGGCTGTATATATATATATATATATATATATATATATATTAATATATATATATATATCTATCACATACTTGTGCCTTTATCAGGGCGATAACAGGGTGACATAAAAACGATATCGTCACTGATATCGCTTTTTGTCACTGATATCGCTTTTTGTCACTGATATCGCTTTTTGTCCCGCTGCATTTGCCGCTGTCAAAACAAAGATGGCTGACTATATATATATGCATATTAAGTATATATATATACTTATATTAAATTAAGTATAAATATATATATATATCCTCAGGCGATAACTATTTTCGCACGCGATTAAGTCACAACGGTTTAGGCGCACGCGTTTTTGATTGATTATACGCGAGCGTTTTAACGTGCATGCTTGCCTGCACATCAGATTTATATATATCAGATTTTTATATCAGATTTATTTTGGCTCACATCAGATTTATACAAATCAAACAATCACGAATACCACAGGTTTTCCTACACAAATTCCAAAATACTTTGATTTAATAAAAAGTAAATGATTGTAAATGAAACCTTTATATTAACAAAAAGTTTTATTACTTCCCAGATAAAAGCGGCCAGGCCAAATTTTATCCACAAAAAGAATTGTTCTGAAATGATTGATGTGAAATATTGAGAACTTCCTTATAACTGATTATTATTGTTTTTTAGCCATCTGATCATGAAAACCTTGGAGGAGAATGACAAGTGCTTTATCTTTTAAATGAATATGGGTCAACAAAATGCATTGTTTTAGGCTAACAAAATTTATGGACTATATAATTATTACCTTATTTTATATACATAAATTTTGTATAATGTCCTCCTGGGGCTGCTTGTTCGAAGGGTGTTTAGCTTAAACGGCAGATAAGTTGAGGTGGAAAACAGAATGGAAAACAAAATGATCTCCTTATTGGACAAACGAGCTGATACATTTCAATGTAAATAGCTTATAATTTTCAATGGAAGTATATATTTAAGATACAGGTTCAGTCATTCACAGTTATTATCATAAAATGCAACATACACAGCTGGTTTCGTATTTGTGCATGCAATTTCTGGTATACTATACATGTGCAGTATATTCACAAGCCCCCATTGATCGTCACCCTGATAGTCATTTCCATTACATTTGCTGCATATAGCCAACATGCAGGTAGTAATATTCGATCTTCTTTTTTCCAAAATAGCCTTAACTGACATGTTCTACGTATTAACGATATATATAGGCAGTGTGTCAAAGATAGCTACAGAGAAAAATTACAGAAAGCATTATAGCTAAGAGCCAATTGAGAGAATTTACTTTTTATGATGCACATAGTATTCAACATATTAGATAGCAAGGTATGCAATCAATGAAATGAGTATTGTGATGTTGCTACTCTGAGTCCCAATCGAGTAAGCTGAAAAATTAGCTTGGAATCGAACCACGCTGGGAATCGAACCCGCTACCTTTGGTTTGCTAGTGCAATGCTCTTCCAACTGAGCTACCAAGTCAAGACGGTTCGAGTAATTAATATTTCGGAACACAGTCTAGTCACTTGTATAGAAGACTTGGAAGACCATTGCACTAGCAAACCAAAGGTCGCGGGTTCGATTTCCACCATGGTCAACCTAAGTTTCAGCTTATCCGGTTGGTGACTCAAAGTAGCAACATCACAATATTCATTTCATATATACACCTGAGTATTTTTGCACTATTACTAGTAAGCAATCAATGTTTTACTATTAAGCGGTGCTTTAGTAGTGGCGTCCAGTAGCCTACACTCTATATGTAGCTGCCTATGTGTCATGTGCTTCACCCAGACCCGCCCAATTTGCCGTTTTAAAACACTTGATTGTTAATAACTATTTGACCAATCTCACCATTGAAATAAATATCTGCATGACTCAAATGGAAAATGAGATATGATAATACTATAACGTATGTTACAAATACAATTCTATACTCACCAACTTTCCTGCTACATATCTTTTGACCCGCCAACAACAGTGTAGGTTTGTCGATTAAAGTGCCTATGTCATGTTTGGGGAAATAGACTTTTTAGATAGTTTAGACGATTTTAAGAACTTTTGCAATATATTTGATAAGTCGAAAATTTCATCTTCATTGACTTTGAGGGCATCAAAGTTGGTGATTTTGAATGAAACCGTGACCCTAAAAGGACTAGGGCGAGAACGCTTGTGAGACGGGTTGTGACGTCATTTCGGGAAGTCGCATTTCTTGTAAAGCCGTAAAACACTGTATTTTATAAATTGCGCGAGCGAAGATAGACTTTGAATTGTACTGTTTCAATATTACTGTCGCGTTTCGTTTAATTTGTGGATGCGACAATGTCGTGAAGCTTTACTTATCCGATCTGCGGTGAGGTGAATCAGAAAATAACGCCGATTTGCTACGATCGAACAATCTTGAAGTTGACGCTTCTCTGAGGCTCTGACTCACTCAGTGCTCTGACTGCAGATGAAAGTGTCCATACCCGAATGACGTTTTTAAAATGTGTTGCCAACTATTACAAAGAAAGTCGGAACATGAAGATAAATTGCAAATACTTAATATACAGTCGGAGGCTGGTTCGAAAGACGTGTAGCAGGAAAGATGGTGAGTAGAATTGTTTTTGTAATAATACGCCATAATATTAACGTTTGCTATTTGAATCGGATGTTTATTTTACGGTAATGGTGAAGTGCCAAAAATTATGAGAGTAGACCAGCGTTTTTCAAAGTAAAACGACAAACTAAGCATTTGGGGTATACACATGAATTTTCATCTAATTATGGTGTGCTGAACAGTGGTCTACTAGAAGGTACCTAAAGTCAAAGAGACAAAAGCTGTTGAGAAATAGTGTTTATATAGCACTCCTTGGTACCATTAATATGTGTATAAGAAATACCTTCAATGCTCTCAATTAGTTCATAATGCATTCTATCATTTTACTTTGTAGCTATCTTGACTTGTACATATTGCATATTGACAATCCATGCAACTTGTTCAATTATGGCCACTTGGAGAAAAGAAGAATGTCATGACCGCCATGTTATATGCAGTAAATTTAATGAAAAGGAATTTCACAGAGATGACCTATGAATTTACATATTCTATGGTTATAAGTCAACTCAGTCAGAACTCAGAAGAGGTTGCTTCTTTAGGCATTTGACTCATTGCTGTCTTTTTTGAGCAACTTATATAATATTTAAGCTTTGTTGTAACACTCTTGCAAATTTCATTATGAATTAAAATTTGAATAGCTTGTAAAACAAATTGTGTGTGTAGCTTGCAAAAAAATGTTGTCTATATTGCAGTGAACTCTAGGTTTTTTTTGCATTAAAACACAATATCATGCATATATCCAAGAAATATATCATTTTGAAATAATAAATGTATAAACAAGACACTTTAATGAAATTTTGAGGGTAGTTTTAAAGATTTATTCAAAAAGTATGCTCATTTAGGAGGGTTATAATACCTTTATTTTGACCATTTGACATAGCAATACATAATTACTGTTTGATAGGTTTATGTTTTAAAAATTTGTGTGTTGTTAAACCACCAATAAAATATTTACATATATACATTATTCAATAACTGATTATTTTTTCCTGCAAAGACAGTTCAGAACATTCCAATGACCTTTTATGGGTTTGTCACAAGTCGGCAACATGGTTTTGCTTGTTTTTAATGTGGATGTGTGGATCGAGTTTGCCAAGTTGAAGGTGTTGAAGCAAATTAATAGGTCTCAATTTGTGATTTGGTCATACTTCCAGAATCTGTTAGTGTACAAACATATAAATATCAAATTACTATTTTTTGGAGAAATAAAAAATATATTGAAAGTACTTGGTTTAATCAACAGTCTGATACATTTTTCATGTTCTCTATTGTGCATTACGTACGACATCGATGAATCAAAACAAGTGAACAGAGCATTGATGAAATTTGCGACGGTGATATCTTGCAGACAATGTCCTGCTAGTTTTGTTATAATAATTTGAGGGCGCACAGATATACTTATTGTGTCTTACTTCAAGCGATGAGCCAGAAGTCCCACGACGGATAATCTGTTTTACATCAAAAGTCAAAACTTTCGTTGATACCAATATAGCTGCTCACGATCTCTTGTGATCGAACTCCTCAAAGGTCAAACGGCTCTTATTTTCCACGTTACCGTAAAAAAGTCAAACCGAGCTTTCCCCTGTCTTTTGCCTCGGGCGGTGTACCATATAAAATTCTATGTACGATAGCGCAATTCTTTCGCGTAAATCGGCGGTGTTGGAACCACGAAGTTGTGTTACATCCTTGTAACATTATTAATAAATGTCGAACACATAAAGGCCTTACTTTACACAAAATCTTTGCTTATCCGCGATATAATAATTTATTTTCTATAATATAGCTTATTGTTATTTTCGCAACTTCCCGATTTGACGTCACACATAACATTAGTTACCAGTTTTTTCAGGGTCACGGAAAATCATAAAAATCGTCAAAATCACCAACTTTGAGGCCCTCAAGTCGATGAAGATGAAATTTTCGACTTATCAAATATATTGCAAAAGTTCTTAAAATCGTCTAAATTACCTAAAAAGTCTATTTTCCCAAACATGACATAGGCACTTTAAGTCAATTTAGAGCGATACTAAACAATTTGAGCGACCGCGGTAGTCGCATTATGCGACATTGGAGCGACTGCAAATCAAAGCTCCGTTCATGCGCTGAACTATAAATGTATAAATTATTTTAATTATTCTCATTCTTGGCCCAAAAGTTCAGACTGAGGAAAAGTCCGACAATCAGGAGTGCATTACATACTGCCCTCGATACACGAATTTGTTTTCTTGCATGAGCGTTCGTCGCAGTTGGTGGTCCAAACGAAACTCCACCACTCAATCGTTTACAACACCGCACTAAAATTCTCAAAGTTTAATGATTGCAACAGAAAGGCAGCAAGAAACAAGTTAATTTGTCCTAACAAAGTTGTTCTATAATATACCTATCGTAGAAATAAATCGCACATAATAAGGTATACCTCTGAGATTGCCTAAATATTCACATCTGAATAGTTTTTAGAAAGTCATTTCAAAAGGAAACTGCCTACATACAAGCTTGGCGCTTTTACAATAATTTCGGTGCTGTATCGAAAACCCACAGCAATTATTCTCGCCCCTTTCTTGTCCCTTTTGTCTGTGAATTTTGATCTTACTGACTGACTTATGTGAATCTTCGCCATTCCCCAATTGACCATAACAAAAAAGATGGCGGATGTACATTTTACCAGATGCATTCTGGTAAAATGTACATGCCGCCATCTTTTTCGTTACGGTCAATTGCAATACAACTATTGCCACGATTTGTAACGTAACGACGAACTTTTGAAAGAAAAAATACCAGGGCAGATTTACTATTTGACTCCGTGAAAATATTCATCACGATTCCGTAAAGAATATAGTCAGTAAAACTGAATGATGACTTTGGAAACACTAAGGTTTTTCACACATAATGTTTAACACAATTTGTGTTAAACTTTCCGTGGTGAAACATGATATCATATTAGACAATTATTTAATGAATTTTAACGGCAGTGTCATCTTTTCGAGAGCATGCAAATGAGATTTTGTCATTTTTTCACACCCGAGCTAGCTGGCGCTTTGCGCCGGCGAGGCTACTAATTTCGCTTCGAATGTTTACAACTGCGATGCGGTTCTCAAGTTACTCTCTTACCAAGATACGTTCTTAAGGGGAGGGTACACATAATAATCGGAGTAAAACTTCAAATGACTATAGCATCTAAACTTACCATTATAACATAAACAAAGTATAAATCAGTTGAAAGCTTATGACTTGAAGATTCTGAAAATGATGTTCATTTTTGAAACAAATGATTTGTAACCTGATACGAGCGGATTATGCGGAACACATGCTGTGAAAAACTAGGGTGTATATGAGAAAAGATATCTTGTTGTAAACTGCTTTAATTTTCAAAGTTGGTACATTTTTATGAAGTATAGACATAGTTGTCTGGGATGAGCATACAACTTTTGAATATGATAAAAATTGCGGCCACAGCGGGGTTTCAAATTTCATGTACGTTTTAGAGGGAACATTTCCCACCATAATTTCAATTGTATAGCAGGTATTGAAAAGTTGTATGCTCATCCCACAAATAATGGGGAGATGAGTATGCACAGACAATTTCAGCTCAATCCAATCAAAACTCTAGGAGATATCCTTTCTTAACCGTACAAAATCCATGTTTTGAGAAAATCCACTTTTAAGTTTACTAACAAGGTTCGTGGACCATAATGTTAGATTATACCTTGACTTCTTATGTTATTTAGGCAGAAAAGTTATCTTAGTGTCTTAAAACCCTCCAGCATCATAGGTGACACCTTCAGCTTCTCTCAAAGCTTCTTCTTGCTGAGCCTTTCGAGCCTGCTCCACCTGTCGACGCCTTTTGTGCTTTTCGTCCATCTGATGATCAGCCTGTCTGACACGTTTTTTGTCTTTCAAATGTGAAAGCCTTCTGCAGACATCTCCAGCAGGAATCTGAAGTCTCTTCATTACCTTCTCCCTACTTGTTGCACCACTATGGAAATGACAGACAGCTGATGCAACCACGCACTTCACCACTTTAGCTCCATGGTGTTTATGTTTTGGACACCGAGCCCACACTAATGAATTTATTGATTCATTGTTATTTTGAGTTTTACCCCGAACACACCTCTCAAGCAGTTTTGAGTCACTAAGCTGCATAAAGTTAGCTTCAGCTTACTAAGTTGGCTTCAACAGCTCTAAAAAAACTTGAGGCAAACAATCATCACCCTTATAGGTGCGTGTACCATTCACACGATCTTGTTGCCATTTGCACCAAGAGTCTTTACCAACTGGGCAAAAGCGGTGTTGCTTACTGGCATCATCATTTTGAACAAAATGGTTCAAAAGGGCAATTATGTTCTTTTTCATGGCATAAACTGATGCTGATACCTCTCTCTCCGTTGGATTGGAAGTGGACAAGGTGTTCTGGCGTATTGCTAGCCCATAGTATCTCTGGATTTTCAAAATCCTCTTTTCAGAGAGTCGCCCACGTCCTCCAACTGTCTTTCCATCGGAAAGCTTGCCTTTCGTGGTACCCTTCAACTTTAAAAGATGCTTACCCATTCTTTTTTGGACATGGCCAACACAATCTAATTTCCCCACCTTCTCGTCACCATATGTGTCTTCGACCGCACTAAAGGCTTTGTTATCTCCGTCGGATATCATCCACTTGTAGCGAAGGTTGTGCCGCTCAATGGACCTGTTCCATAAAATTTTTGCTCCCTCTACCTCCATTGCTGGAGAACTACCATCAAAATTGACATCACACTCACCAGAAAAAACATGCTCAATTTGCCACTCTTCAAATTCTTCATCACTCTCACACTTTGCTCTCTTCAATGCACATTTCTGACATGTTTTTGAAATAACATAGTAGTCCAGGACTTTACCAGTGTCTATTGATATCACAAATACAACACCAATAAGAGAAGTGAACCCTCTTTTTGCCCAGGTGCCATCAAAGCTGACACCAACATCAAGAACTGAGCCATCATCTTCCATTTCATTTTCTGTTAAAACCAGCTTCCTCAGGCTCTGTCCAGCCTCTGTCATTTCTTCCTTTGCTTCCATCTCCAGAGCACTTAGAATTGTGTCTAAATGTTGGTAATATGCAGTCTTACTTATGCAAGGCATGTTCATGATGCTACAGAATGTAGCAAGGCTTTCATAGCCACCACCAGTCTCCACGGAATAATACACCGCACGGCGGTTCACATCGGCAGAAAAACCTTTGCCAGGAATAGAAGAAGAGGTTTCCAAATCAGATTCCTCTTGGCATGATGAGCAACTTGCAGAGAGGTCACTCATTAGACCACGTTTACCTGATGCATTTTCTTGAACTTTCAAGCTGGCTGGTAATAAATTAAAGATAAAGAAAAATTAGTTATATTATATTATGTACACTAAATTGTTAAAAAAATTATATAAAACAAATATAAACTGAAACAGGCAAAAACCTTCTATTCTTTGTAGTAAATCTATACTACATTAAAGCACAAATCTACAGCATTTACTGTTAGCACAATGTCATGAAAACCTATAGTTACACAGTAGATGAAAAGTCACAAGCCTTAGCTATGCTACTACTGTGACAGTCACAGTGTGAATGTGTGTTTATTGTTGTACTTACCACCATTGCACACATGTGCTTCTGATAGAGAATCTCTAAATTTGCCAATATCAATAAGACGGTAACCTTTATTTTCAAAATCAACCACTGGATTGGGGTCTTTGGTGGACTCAGAGAAGTTTAATTTTCGTCTGGACGCACTAACACGTGGTGCGTCAGTAGTCTCAGGGACATCTTCATCTTGTTGTTGACTTGGTCGTTTTTCTTCCGGTATTGTATAATTTTTTTGCTTTCCAGTAAAGGGCTTTCCTTTCCTTGACTTACGATACACACTTCTCTTCTTTGTCCCCACCATATTGACAAACAAAATCGTATTTGAAGATCACTTTACTAATAAACTTTCCACTTGAAGACTTTCAACACTTTTGTTAGTTTGAGAATTTGCGTTGGTGAGCCCATAATGAATCAGACCAGCGCAAACACGTACACCAGTACGTCATGTAGTCAGAAATGTCCATAGCTCACATTCAAATGCAAATAGACAGCCATAAAACTCACGAAAACAAGAAAATAACAAACACGTTGCCATGGCAACCAAACTATCATGTTTGAAAAAAGCCTAGAACACGGTCATAAACAATAATTTGTCCATAAAACGTCTTTTCCATGATTCTTAAGTGTTTAAAGTATCGCATATTAGACAAAAAAAAATTTACCCAAAATTCAAAATTTTATGTGTACCCTCCCCGCTTGCAGTTGCTGATGCGAATACGACGTCACTTTACAGAAATTTCAAGAATACCTATTACTTACCATCCGGTAAAATAAGCTGACAGTCTTCACCATCACCTTCAAATTTCGAAGGACACTTCCCGCACTTGTACCTGTCGCCTGTTACCGAACAATTTACCCCACGAAAACATGGCAGGTTATCGCATGGGCTAATTTCGCACAACACCCCCGTATACGGTTTCACACAACCACATTTGAAACTTGCAAAATCAACACGCACTGTTGACACATTTTTCTTTCCTTGGCATTTACCTTAAAAAAACACATAAAGCGGAAGTCAATTTCGTATGCAAACAAAAATGTTTGTTTACATTTTGTGTCTGAATATCTAACACTATTTAGGTTCGTTATAAATATGAATTAGAGTTTATTTGTAATGTTTCGTTTTTAACTTAAAACATCTGCAGTATAAATGATATAAAATTACATAAGATTTGAAATCTTATGTAATTTCATATCATTTAGTCTGAAGATGTCTTAAGTTAAAAACGAAACGTTACAAATAAATTATTTTAAATTCATAATTGTTTTGATGGCATTCTTAAATGTTATATATTGGGTTGTTACATTTATTATAAGAATTTTTTGGCAAATCTCTAGTAATGATATTGCGGTTTTCACTAAAATAAACGGTTTAGATATGCTCGGAAAAGGTATATTTTTGAATCACTTTTGAACAAATTGCCCACGAGTTGTACAGCATCAAAAATGTTTTTTCAACGTGGAATGGATGATCTCATTGCAAAACTAGACAAACTGGGTCGGGAGAACATGTTATGTATACATGTTTATCACATGCATCGTTTTACCTCCATTCTGGCACAAGCACGGTAAGGCGACAATTTCGATTGTGTGGACACTGCTTGCAAGCCCTTCACCATCTGTTACTCGTAATGAAAATCCTCCAGTTCTATTCACAAAAATTCTAACAATTTTTTTCTCCATATCTTTTGATATATCAACTGTTGCATTCGGCAGATATTCGTACTTCCATTTATATCCTTCAGGGTCAGTAGCATTAATCGATAGTTGGAATTCGCTCTTTTCGAAAGCGTAGAAACGACCAGGCATAGTGATATACGGAGCTCGATTGGCTTTATAAAACGAAAAATGCATATTTTTATAATTATTTATTCCACATTATATTATACCTAACAACAAACTTTTTCAATCACAGAGCATGCTTTATACCATATGCTGACCATGATATTTTCCAGCGAATACTATATGCCTCAAACAGCTCGTACCGTGTAAGGTTCGGTATAATATAGCTACAACAATACAAAACTTGGACCAAAACGCCTCGTCCAAGGTCTTTAACTAATAAGAATATACTGATCTTATACTGCAGTCTTCTCGCAACCGTATAATATCCTAATTTATTGATCCTGTATTCATAATATATGAATGCTGAAAACAATAGTAAGTAGATTAACCCCTCTCCCAAAATAGCTGCAAAATCATGCAACGTGGGACGTCGGAAAAGCGGAAAGTGCATTGCACCGGCATCGCACTCATTTTTCCATCAACTGTTCAAGGCATTTCCACACTGCTAGTGCGGAAATGGGATGAGCTGCCAATTTTGTGGAAGATACTTTAGCCGCAGCTACAATTAACGCAGACACGAGCACGGATACTGTCCACTACGAGAACAAGAGAGAAACATGTGTCAAACAGAATCGGACAGGCAAGAAAAAGATTTCCAAGATGATGTCTCGACCACTTCCACCCAGCAATAAGGAAGTTCGACGACGTCTCAGAATGTGAAGAAGAAATGCATCCCTGGATACTGCTATAATAGAACAATAGAACAAGCAAAACAAAGAAGTAACACAGCTTTCGAGAAAATGAAAGAACTCCTTATAAACAGTGATTTCAACGAGCACCTTGCTAAAGAGTAAGCTTACTTGAATGTTATGCCCAGACTCCAGAAATAATTAGAAAATACCTACTTAGAACGCCTTTTGTTTTGACCAAGAGGAAGCCATAGATGCTGCAGTTGCTAAGAGAATTTTTTTTAATTTAGAGGCTTTTAAACGACGACGAGATTGAAGATGTGGAGGAAAATAAAGGCAGTGATGATGATGATGAAGATTATAATTTAAACTTAGTCAAATGGTTTACTAAACCTTTCTTAAGGAAACCATGGTAAACGAGCACAAAGCGATAAAACGATTTACAAGAAATTATTTTTTATTGCTGTAACTATAATTGCGAGACAAATAAATTTTAAATGTCTGCAATTTTCTTCTTCCCCACCGCTAGTTCATACATTAATTTTTATTTTATCGACAAAATTTTCCAATGGGCCTGTCTCATTGGGCAGATGAGCATCTGCTCATGAGCAGTTACGAGCATGTGCTCATCTGCTCATCGCAAAAAATTTAAAACCGATATTCCATCAACTATATTAAGTACACAGTTGAAACAATAAGAGGACAGTTCACAAGACACGACAACAGTCATCACAAAGCATACATAGAGGATATTACACGGTTGCGAGAAGATATGGATTTTATGTTCGAGTGGCAAGAACAATATCTCACGAGTGAGCGCATGTTCTGTTTGTTATATGGACTAAATTATGAGTGAAAAAAATACACACAAAGGCGACAAGAAAATTAGCCGCGGAAGACCATTATAAAAGCAAATATTTTTTAAATTATAACCTAAACATGAAAGTAGACTAATTTTTCCTTATCTAAGGATGTCTTATGTGTTTTTGTTTGTATTTCTAACGTTAATTTCGTTTATATACGAACCAAAGGCCATTTGTATTTTCACAACAACAACAACAAAGAAAATGGCGGGAAAATTTTCGAAACTCGTTATGTCACCCCTAAACGTGACATACGGAAAATACGCACACCTGGTCCCGGATGTAGTGACGTATGAGTTCTACGAGTGTTTTAGTTCTCAGTAAAATACCTCCATCCATATAATAAATAATAATATTGAAATTAAAAATGAACGCTTAAAATAAACAATCTTGATTATCCCCGAGCCGGTGCGAAGCACCGGGCGAGGGTACTAATTCCGCCCGGAGATTTTAATTACACCCGGGAATGCAAATGCGAAATGAAAGTTGTCAGTGTGTCCGCCATTATGTCATGGACGTTGGGCGTTTTTGTAAGTTATGCGCATGCGTGAGTTTAAGACGAGTTAAAACTGGTAACCAGCAAACGTTTGCGAGCGTGCGATTGGCTAAATTAAAATTTTGGTTCGCGTCAGCATAACTGATATTTTGAATTATAAAACTTTTTTAAAATATTTTTCATTTGGATAGTTTGGAAAATATACGGAAAAATTCACTCGTAAAATTGATTAAAATATAAAGTAAATGATGCTTTCGGATAGAAAAACTTTGATTCAAATAGATGGTGAAAAATCAACGATTTTAAAGCATTTTTGGAGTGTTTTTGAACAGGTAAATAGGTAGATTTTGTATTTTAAAGCATGCAAGTATTTCGTAAGTTTAATATGTAGATTATCAACAAACGTATACGACACCTCTTTGAGTTTATTCGTCAATTTCGTTAAAATGATTTTGATTGGGAAGGTATTTATTTTTAAAGGTCAATCTGTTTAAAAAGGAATTGAAATTTCGCTAAAAATTGTAGTAATTAAAACTATTCGTAGCACAATTCATGAATTATGATTATAGTTGAATGTGATAGCTCGAGAGTCGACTTTCTAATTGTACTTGATATAGGATTTTACTTATACGACTTCGATCATTCAGCAGAAACGAGTATTATAGAATTTCACTAATGGATATATAGGTTTATTACTTCAGGCGAGGGGATGTTGCATGCATGTATTTCTAGTACATTGAAAATAATGGCGTTTGCATCGAAAGAAAGAGTTGCATTAGTAACTTGAGTAAAATATTATCTTCCTGAATCCCTTAGTGTGTGTTGGTAAGTTGACAGTTGTTCATTAATTAGTGACATTATATATATATATATATATATATATATATATATATATTAATATATATATATATATATATATAATAAAGCATAGGGGAATGTTACCAATAAGATAAATTGCTTTGTTTACCAAATCTATATTTTGTCAACTTTCATTTTACTCACAAATATTTAATTTAATATAGGTTCTAACAATTGAAACTGAACCACCATGAATCTGCACAAGGCTGCCATCAGTGATCTGCATGTGTACACCCAAGACACCTTCAGTATACACCTTCTACATGCGGTACACCTTTAGCATCTACGACTGAAACACCTTCAGTGATCAGCATTGACAATGAGGAAGAATTTGATTTTGACCACAAGAGTGATATTGAATCACCCGGCCAGACACATCACCAGTTTTGTCAAGAAAACCTTGTACAGTGATAGCACCTTGAACTCATCACCCGGCTTTGCGATTAAAGAAACAAGAATCATTCATAAGGTGCGCCTTGGGTAATGGACTTCAAGCTTCCTGATACTGTAAGTTTCACTGTTTCTGTAATCGCACTTATGAATTTTGTGGTGTATAATATACAGTAGTTTTTTTGCTGACTTGAGCAACATAGGTTGATTTACTTAAATGGAAGGAACAGTGTATACAAACATTATAATATTAATGTATTGTCATGTGTCTTGTAAAAAAATGTTTATAGTGTTAAAATTAAAGAGATATTATACTATTTTTCTGTTTTCTTGTAATATTTTTGGCATTTAAATGTATGATATCATTCTGCTACATGGCACTACAGAATGATAACAGACTTGAGTGCTTTTTCAATATGATAGTTTAGTGCTTAAATGACACAGGCTGTTAACTAGTTGTAAGGTGCTAAATAAATTCTTAAAAGGAGTGTTGTTTTAATACTGCCAGTAGTGTTGAATTAACTCGCAGAAAGAGTGCTAATTAAGCTCTAGGTATGTGCTGTTTTAGCATCATATCTGGAGTTAAAATAACACTATAACAAGTGCTAATTTAGCACTAAGAAAGTGTTGTTTCAGCACCAAATCTACTAAGCGCGAGTAATGTGATCAAGGAAAAACAACAGCTGATTGACAACATAAGTATGGGAGTGAGACCAGAGTGAGGGCAGAGTAGCGCGAGACAGCGCAGAGAGTAGAGGAACAACCTGCAAAGAGATATCGCGAATAAAAAACCTTAAAAACTAAAATCTGTGAGTAATAATTAGAGATCGGGAGAAGTATTTCCTGATACTGTGGCACCCACAACGGGATGGCAAAGACGCAACCATCTGAGGATCTTGTGAAACAATTAAAAGCAAAAGCAGATCTCCTTCGACTAACTAACGAAGAAACAAGGGAGATCATGCAGTAATTACTAAAGCCAAGATTAACCTACTAGAGCGTGAACGGTAAACGCTAAACGATAAACTACAAGAAGTACATAATTTGAAGATAGGCATGAGGTACGAGCATGGACCGAAGGAATAAAATCGAACGACATTATACACATCGAGAATGCGATCTCCCAGTTGTAGACCGTCACCGAGACTACGAGAAAGAATGAACTGCGGGAGAAAGAGAACATGGCCGCTCAAGGCAGAGATGAACAGTACCAGGAAAAGCTGAAATACGACAAGGAGAAACTGTAGTCACAGCTAGTATAGTTTGTGAAAAGAAAATCACAGAAGAACAAACGAAAAGGTCGAACGAGAACGAATCGCGTAAACCCAACGCGAGGTTTCAGAAGCTGCAAATTACAAGGTTCGACGGAACTTACGTAGATTGGTTACGGTTTTGGAAGCATTTCGAAGCCGAAATCCAGGCAGCAGAAATCCTAGCAGTGACAAAGTTCAATTACCTAAAGGAATTAGTAACTCCAAAGGTGAGGATCGCAATTCAAGGGTTACCGTACACAACCGAGGGCTACGAAAGAGCCTGAAATATTCTGCAAACAAGGTATGGGAAATCTAGCAAGATAGTAAATAGCTATGTGCAAAATATCATGTCCTTGCCTAACATTCACGGCTGCCAGCCATCAAAGATACATGAATTTTACGAGAAACTAAAGCTAAATGAAGTAAATGGTTATGTCAGAGCCACGATCGACAACTAGATTAGAGTGGACCTTGTTCGTATGGACGATGACTGGCAGG